CTACTGTTCCAATGGTGGCCTTAAAGTTAACTAGTCTGTGTGTTCATGAGAACAATGCTGTCAGAGAAATAACACGTAGGCCTACAGAGATTTAATTATTTATGCCGCTATGTCACGACATAGAAATAGAGATAGAGATCATCTACTCAACAGGCTACGAGATGTGTGCCTAGTTCAGCTTTTGCCCACCACTACAAGTTATACCAGAGAGGTTAGTATTACTGTAAACTCTCTGGTTATGCCCTCCAACAATTCCTTGGAACGTAGAACGTAGGGCCAACCTCTACCAGTTACCTACCAGTTTGGCCCTCCAACAATTCGGTGGAGATATATTATAATTTGTAATAATAATTTATAATATCATCGTGTAGACCTACCGGTACAGAGGAAGTGCCAACCTCTACCGTACCAGTTTCGTCCTCTCACTTCAACAATTCTTACACAAGTAGCAGGAGCGGCTCGTGGGTCTAAAAAAAGTAGGCGTACACAATTAACTTAAAGGAGGTTGAAGATAGTCAACCTGACCAGCCAGCCTTGAGAGCCTACAACACCAAGCACTCAGGCTATAAAGGAAGATGAAGGCCACGCAAAAGGTGGATCAAGGGTGTCAAGGAAACCCTAAGAAAACATAAACATCACAACTGAAAGGGCTGCGGAGCTGGCCTACCATAGAAAACTGCATCTCCCCTCGACGCTTAACGGCAACTAACAGAGGATGAAAAAGTAAAAGTAAAGTAAAGTAAGTAAGGAGATAGTCAAAGGCATGGTTAATGAAATGTATTCTTCATCCTACCTGTTTGAAGAAAATCTACTTGCACAAGACAGAAATCTACCCTTCGTTCTTTTATACGATTTCTAATTTCCTCGCTGGCTGCTTTACAATTCTTGAGCTTGTTGGGCTGCTATGGGCGTTGTTACTTCTGTGTTGGAGGATCTCATACACAGCGTCAACGTGCGGAAACACTTTGTTTTAAAAAAGTGCAAAAAAGAAGAGAAATATATCGCTCTTTGATATATATATATATATATAGATAGATAGATATATATATATATATATATATATATATATATACAGAGAGAGAGAGAGAGAGAGAGAGAGAGAGAGAGAGAGAGAGAGAGAGAGAGAGAGAGAGCAGACACGCCTCGTGGGGGATAATTATGGACCCCGTGCTTTGACTGAATTTCTCCAAGACAGAGCTGGACTTCTCATTTCCAAGTGAAGACTGCTAACGGGTCGAGACTGAAAATTCCATTTTGTTCCGTGGAATATTCCGGTGATGAACGCGTCTGAGAACATCGATGCGTTTTGTAGAGTGGGCAAAAATGTCGAAAAGCCTGCAGCATTAGCGAAAAGTTTAAAACAAGTCTCAGCCGATGCGCATAGCAATGAACAAATACAGCATAAGGGAAAAATTGGCGCATATCTGAGTCTGTACACCAGGGACTCTTCCGCTTATTACAGCTGCCCCATCGTCGGTTTGAGCGATCAGTTCCTCCTCGACTCTGAATGTTTCTAAAGCTTCTTTTAGGGTTGAAACGAGCCCTGACGAAGTTCTGTCTTTGGCTTCACAAAACTTAAGAAATCACTCTACTGGTTTTCCGTCCTTATTATACCTCAGAATGTTCACAAACTGTGACAAATGACCTGCATCAGTTGCTTCGTCATCCTGAGCAGAAAGAAAGTTGGCAGAGCGTTTGTCTTTATTCAGTTTTTCGTGGTATATTTTGAAAATACAGTCCAGCCGTTCGTTTTGTATTATTTTGGAAGTTTTGCAATAGTAGATCTTTGCAGATGATCAAACAGTGTCCTGTCAGTACTGTCAGTGTTCGCGTCTCTGTGCAGTACATCAAGAAAGATACATCAGTTCTCCCGACTAATCAACTTCTTCACTGCCGCGAAGCGCGAGTTCATGAATTCCACAGAACAAAAAATACATTCGATAACCTTACACAGTGCGTGCTTATTCTTTCTCACTCGTTCGTTATCGTGAGACGTTGCAATGCGATGACCAACGTCTAGCTGCCCTGCTGTCTACTTGTCCGAAAGTGTGATACTTAACGGCATTGTTGACGTGAGGGCTTGATGACTCGTGACTTTAATCATGTTCTTTTTCACATGGACAAGATTGACAATAAAACCTGTCTTAAACCACTTGGCGTCTTCAGTTCCTAAAAGCAGACAGTAAAAGCAGTACAACGAGTGTTTGCTGACGCTGACTAGATCTATAAGCCACTCCACAGTTTCGAAAAAGTCCATTATATACAGGTATTAAAAACATGATTGCACCTTTTTGTTGGTTGTATTATTTTAAGTTTGGGTTGGTGAAGACCTAGATTCTATTCTTTCCCTCTCTTCTTGTCACTTTGGTTTAAAGAACTGAATTTATAATTTTCAAGCAAAAAATCAGCTTCATCCACCCAACACTGGAATTGCACACCCAAGTAATAAAACTTTCACCACTACACCATTCCAATAAGTATAAGTAAGGTTTTACTGACAAAGTGGCCTATTATTACGTCATGTTGATCTTGCTCAAGTTCAGGGTCCCAGGGGTGGGGCTAATAAATGGCAAGACAGTGGACCAATCACATATCACTGTGAGCACTCTGGTAGATTGCTCCGAAGCTACCATAATATGGGCATTGAAAATTGTGTTAGTGTAAGATATCGTGAACTGGTCTGAGATTGCGTTATGTTTAGTCTGCCTCTCTGGGCTTTGTTCGGCTGGTGCCACCTTTATTAATATTTTAATGTACCGGTACTACGAAACACCTCTAAACGGTAAACGTCATCGTTGTTTGGGTCAGCCCGTAGCGCATTTTTCGAGTCAGATTACCACCGCTGAACACCCTTTTTTTTTACTTGGATGAAACACGAGGACTTGATATGGTATAGTACTTAGAGTGCTACAGACACAGTAATGACCAATTAGGCTCTGGCAAAGAACTTGTACGGAAAATGGATTACATAATGGATGTTAAAATTTATTTTATTGTCTCTTTGTGGGTGTTGTGCGCAATAAATTTTTGGGCGGCAGTGCACGACCGTGCTCTATGGACGAGCCGTCCCTGAAAGTAGTACATGTATGTTACAGGTAGAGCCAGCCACTACCATTACCAGTTTCGCCTTCTTAATCTTACTTTAATAACAATTCTTACATAAGTAGTACATATATATATATATATATATATATATATATATATATATATATATATATATACATACATGGGCTAACAGCTTCCAATGTCGCCTTCTTACTCTTACTCTTGTCGACCAATTTTTACAAAATCTGTATTACAGGTAGGGCCACCCACTAACTTAACTACCAGTTTCACCCTCCAACACCGGAGCACAAACAATACCCGAATAGACTACACCAAGGCCAGGCGTACCGTGTATGATTCATGATGATGAGGCGCGTTGAAACATGTTCGTACAACCGACTTCATACAGCATACATTTTGCACATTATTGTCTTGTATTTTTCAGTGTATTGTTTCTCGGTCTTTGTCTCTCATCTGCGCTCTTCCATGCTGCTACATTGTGCCTGTCCACTTGGCCGAGCGCTGTTTTTGTAATAAAAAGTGTTTTCAATCATGTTTGAGTATTTAAAGAGAAGCACATCGACCCAATGTGTATATATATATATATATATATATATATATATATGTGTGTGTGTGTGTGTGTGTGTGTGTGTGTGTGTGTGTGTGTGTGTGTGTGTGTGTGATTTAGTGCTACCTAGGAAAAGGTAAGACAGACAGAAACAACAGAGAATGAAAGTAAAGAGTAGGACCAACCAGTGGCACCCTCCAACCACCCTCGTAGTAAATATTTTACAGCACTGGCAACACAAGTCATTGATAGTGCCGAAGATCAGAGAATAACAATACAAAAACAGAAGGAGGAGACAAAAGGATAATAGATAGAGAGGAGTATAAGGAAAGAAGGGGCAAACCACACTGGAGCACCTGCCAGCCACCCACGGCTACGTGCTCTGCGTTCGAAATGACGTTGTTTTAGTTGTAAGAGTTTTACGGCACTTACAACACAAAACGGTCATATATAAGTACCGAAGAATAGATGTGTTACTGTTACAAGTACAAGAGAGTAACATACACAAAAAAAAGGAGGAAAGATCAGGACGATAGATGTTTAATAGGAAAGAAGGAGCAAACCACACCAGAGCACGCGCCATTCACAGAAATGACGTTGGACTTGACGGGCGGGAGTATCGCTTAGATACTGTAGGCTAATACATGCATGTACTTAAACCATCATGTTATGAACCGTTGACCTACTCGTAAAGATGATAGCCTACCTGTACCAGTTACCACGATGTTGTAAAATAATAAAGAGCGTTTTGGTTTTTTTACGTGTATGTGTGTCCTAGGTAACTGGTGCAGTGATCTGTTGAGTAGAGATCAGATATACTGCACTTTGCAATTGTGCGCAACACACGAGTTCGATTCCTGAATAGGAATGGGGTTTTTTCCCCCTCCTTTCACTTACAATCGAGTAGTTCAATCTGAGTGCTGGGATGTTGTTTCCGTTTTTGAAAGAGTTTTATGGCACTTGCAACACAATAAGGTCATTAAGTGCCAAAGATTAGAGGTGTTACAAGAAAGTAACAAACATAAAAAGAAAGAGAAGAGATCAGGACGATAGATGTTTGAGTTTGACAGGAAAAAATGAGCAACCCACACCAGAGCACCCACTAACCACCCACTAGGAAGTTGTACTCGTCATTAACTTGTAATCCCAGACAAGCACGGTTGGTTTTGAAGCAACTCATCAACCCTTAACAACAAATTTCTGTGACGAACAACGATACATTTTCACACAAAACACAAACTGAAACAATGCCTCTATTGTCACACAGTACCACATAATGAACAAACCTTAAGTTTAACTGTACCAAGTTCATAAAACTAATATATCATAAACAACAAAGAAACAACAAACAAACAGACAAACCAAAAAGGAAATAAAGACCTGAAAGTGAAGTTTCAGCAAATCATTTTATTCTCAACAAAGAGGGTTAGAACAATAATTTGCCATTCAAAACCGAGTTCAACGCTCAAACAGCATATTTTTGTTGTGTATAACAATATTTATAATATGTACAGGAAAACAACTTTGTATAAAAAGTAAATCAATATAATATAATGTCACACAAACATCACCACTGAAAGGTAGGTAATGATAATACTTGACGAAAAGAAAACTTGCTACACAGTCCTCATCTGCTCACAACAGAGAAGAAAGTGCCGTACGTCTCATGACAAGCTCTCGAGATTATACCATTATATTATACTATATTGTGCTCTTTACTTTGTCATTTTTACCCCCCCCCCCCACAATCTCTTATTAAGGCTTTAACTCAAATGAAATGTTAATACTTAATTATTTTTATATCATGTATCATGCTGTACTTGCAAATTTGCCCTTGACAAAAATTTCACTAGGGACTATAATGAATGATTCACCTTGCCTGAACCCTTTCTTCTCATGGCAGTCAGCCTTCTAAAATGTAATTTCCTTTCCTCTGAGTCTCTGACTCTGAGTATGAAGCCATCAGTAACAAGAAGAAGGCATCAGTTAACAAGAAGCATGAGTAAATCTACAATTTTATTTGGAATCGAAAGTCTAAAGCTTAACTTTTATTTCGAACCATTCACTTTACAACAACTGTGTATGGTATGTGGGCGAGTGTTCGAAAAGTCAAAAACTTTACCCCATGCCCTATTACTATTAGATACTACATGACATGTATACGTATCCAATAAAAACCTGCATAAACAATGACAAAAAGAAAGCAAAAAACGCATTTTGATAATTGCTTGAGCTGTGACTGCGTAAGGATAAAAATCATAAATGCCAAAATGAGGTTAAAAAACCTGCTGATACTGATACAATCAATCACAAGATTGCTCTAAACGTAAGTATTTTAGTATTTATAAAATGACAATGATTGAAAACATAAGTTCATGATGTGAACGAAATGTTTTTTTGAAAAGCAGTCAATGTATAAATAACATGGAAATGTTTAGTGTTTCCATTTCAGCGGAGGCAAAATTGCATTGTTTAATAAAGCTTGGAGCATGGGATCACATTCACAGAATATCAGGTCTGAGTGTGTAGATGAACATTAACAAAGTCAACAATCAGGAATGAATTTGCATTGGCCGACGCGCTGCAAAAACACGCCTTCCACAGAGACCAGTGATGCTTTGCGGGACTTCCTGCTCTTGTGCAGAACAGCCTCGCCTGAGATCGTCTCTTGGTTCTCGTGCACCATCATGTCAATCAGGCCGTAGTGGTGCCGGTGGTAGTAGGTCACCGAGCAGGTCAAGGTCACAGCCACTCGCTTCGTGACGCCATCTTTGCCAGCAGTCATGGTCGTCTCCTCTTGAGGCTCGTGGATGCGAGAGACCACGCCCTCGCCCACAACCGCCTCGTCTACGTCCATCACGAGAAACTTCATCCCCTCGTCTACGGCCTGAATGCTGAAGGCGTAGCCCTCCGGCTCGGAGTCGGACCAGAAGTAGTTCTCGTTGTTGTTCCGCTGCTCGCCGGTGAAGGTCAGCCGCTTGCCGTACCCCATGCCGATCGACTCCAGAGTGCGGGCCTCGTTTTGGAAGAAGAACCGGTTGGATCCGGCTCGGCGCACGCGGTACCGGAAGCCAGGGCAGACTCGTTTGTCCACATAGACGCCTGCAACGAGAGAATGAGTGCACTTACTGCTTGTCTGCCTACTGATCTTGGACATAATGTTTGAATCTCCTCCCCAAAAACAAAAACAAAAATGATTGAAACCCCCAGTGTGTGCGTGTGTTTTGTTTTTGAGCTTCGAAAATGACCTTGGTGATGGGTCTCTTGAAAAGCAAGCACTCTCTAGTCAACAAAACACTGATCCACGCCACTTGTGACAAAGACATTGACGAATTTTTCACTGATTTGGCAAAAAAACAAAATTTGCTCACCCTATCATGAAATGAGGTGTATTCTGCGTGGTTATGAAAAATATAGAGTCCTATTTGAATGAAAAGCAATCCTTTCAATTATTTATAAATCACTGTAAACCCCTATGTTGCAAAAAAAATCCCTGATCATATAATTAATTGTTTATAAAAGTAAAAACTAGAACCTTTTAACTCAGAACAATGAAACAATTTTAGTTAAATTATAACGTCTAAATTCTTTCAACCTAGAACAATGTTTTAAAATTTCATTTTATAATTTCAAACTTGTTCAGTAACAGAAACAGAGCGCTTCCATGGGATAGACACCTAGAAGTAGGTCAACTAGACCGGTGAACACTGACAAATCGACAGCATAATTTGCTCACGGCAGGCTCTCTACCATTTTCGTGACAATAAAAGTAGGATGTCTTTCAAGCTTCATAATATAGTTACTGAAGCGTCAGAATGCCTTTTTATCGATGTTCTAATAATATGGGAATAAAACAGAAAGAGGTGGGTGGGGTTCTTTTTTTCCACTGACAATATTTTATTGGTCAATGAAAAGTCAATTACGAGGGCCTATCCTTGAAAGTGCTCTGCTTCATCAAGCAAAAAATGTAATTTGAAAGATTTTGAAACTGACTGTAAACTGTCATTATTATAAAATAAAATTATATTGAGTCAATTTGATCGTTTAAAATCTACATTGTGCACAGATGATCATCTACTTCTTTTTCCTTTTCTTTCCAGTCTTTGTGACGACATTGATACACACAACAAGAACGGGAACAAGAACAGACGGGACAACGAGAGAGTGCAGCTTGGATGTGTGTCCCTGTTAATGTCACAATAACCAAAAAGACTTTCAGAGAGAGCGAGGGAGCAATGAACCGAGAAGAAATGATGAAAGAAAAAGGTATGAGTGAGTTTCTTACTGTTTACTGACTAGGTCAGCAGACATATGAGTGATCATACTCTTAATGCCCTTCACATGATGGGCTTTAGGGCATTGACATGGTGGACCACGCGGTCCGATTGGTCAGTCAACCATCTGGAAGAGAAATCTTGCAATAGCAACATGGCAAAAACAAACAGGCAAGCCTGACTTAACAACAACAACACAACTACTCTTATAATAATCGAAATATCTGCCTCATAAATGCCACTTTTCTTGTATGAAAATCTCATGGAGGTCAACTTCTAAAAGACAAGGTTAGGCTACTATTGAACTCTCCTAGCAAGCATTGCAATAATATATATATATATATATATATATATATATATATATAATAGATTATATTCTATTTACAGAGGTCCTAAATTCAAATAAAAAGTACACACGGAAGACTAAGAAACTTATGCAAAGTCTACATGAAATCAACTGAAATGACAGGCTTGCCTGAACACAGTACAGAAAAATAAATGCATGAAATAATATAAAAGCAGCATCAGTACAGCATTAAATTCCATATAACAGAGCCTTAATACAAACGACAAAATCTCGTCAAATTTCAATTTGTCAATCGTCAAACAAACGATAATCACATGGCGGGAGAGTGGTTTGACCCACAAATTCTAATAACAATAATATTTGTGACCTAGACCTACATCACAATAACAATCAAAACAAATGCGACCTAGGTTGACCTCTTTTTAGAATTCAACGCGCACCACGTAAACATTTTCAGGTCCACGCTCTTTACGAGAACGCGTAAAACAGATTAGATACGTCGATAGATCTAGACTAAAATACGGTTCAACAAGTCAAGAATGTCATTGTGAAAATAAAAGTAGGCCCTAGCCCATTCCTTTTACACCTCTATAAAAAGATAATCTTGTGAAACATGATAACAATCATGTTAAAAATAACTTCTACATCTGTGCGATAAAAAGTGCCAAACCAACACCTGTACCGTAGTCATGTCAAAAAAATGCATAATTCGTCAATCTGTCAGTCAATGGGGGCAAGAAAGGAACACACCACGTACATCATGTATCAGTTAACGTATCGGTTTCAATTTTATACATACCGTGATTTTCTGAGGAGAAAAAAAAAAAGAACCGACACGGGGTGTGGGGGTAGACCTAGATCTATGTGATGTTATAGAAAGCATGGCAACCATACATTAGTAATGTTGGCAGTTTATACATTATAATATTTGTCCTGCGTGTCATAGTCATAGCATGGAAAGATCACAACCGGGACACGTGGATGTGGCAGTGTTACAATTGGGGGGTGGCACATGATCTTCTTTGTCGTTTTCTGATGAGAATCGTTCAGACTGAATCAACCCCCCCTAACCCGACACCCCTCCTCCCTCCCGAATTTGGATTTTTTTTTCTATTCTCCATTTCTGACACAAACTTCCGAACCTATGACGGGTAAACGATTTCGCCGTGCTTTAGGGCCTAGTCGTCTCAATGAAAGACACAGAATGTTACTTTACAGCTTCGATTGCACATATCTTACACAGGATAATGTGGTACAGGAGTTTGACATCCACTGGTTGTTTATGATGTAGTTTATTATTTTTTTAAAAGAAAAAGAAATAGGAACATGGGATTTGGGCATTGTGATTCAAGGCATTTTGTTTAAACAAAAAGAACAGTGGTTTTGCTGTAAGGAGAGGGGGGAAACAACATGCCAGCTCGACGGGGTCCCGGTTGTCAATTCGTCACATAAAGTATTAAATGGAGGTAAAAAGAATTGTCGTGTTTTGAACTCACCAACAACAGGCATCTCATGTCGCCGGAGTCCTCGCACGGTGTACACAGCCGGCACGTGATTCTGTTCGTCACCTCGGCACACGACATCCCTCAGCTCCTCGTCTTTGACGCCCTCGTTGCCGCTCTCGTCAGATGAGAAACCTTGCTCTTCCCTCTTCAGAATCTCCTCCACATGCGTCTCCAGCCCACCAGGGCCATGGTGCCAGCCGGACTTGAGAGCAGAGCCAGATAGCGGGATAGAAGATTGGAGTTTCAGCAAGGCTGCGAGATCGCCGGGTCGTAAAGTGGCGTAAGGCGAGATACGACGCTCTAACAGAATTTCCTCGTTCACGTCTTCAGCATTTACGGAGGAGATGTATTCTTCGATGAAAGATTCCATTTAATTTAGTGGCTTGGTCTGGGGGTTTCTAACTTTCTTGTTCTTGGTAGAAACAGGAAATTTAGGAGTGGCGAGAAGTAAGGATAACCATACAAGGATTAATCAGTGAAATGAGCTGCGCGCTTATTGGGTTGAGTTCGGTAGGACTGTGGGAACTTAGCAAAAATTGGACAATAAGGTTACGGTACGCAAGCTCGCGAAGTTCAAGCGTAGAATGAGACTCCCAGCTATTGAGCGAGTGGTTATATCCGCGGCGATCCCACCAATCCCGGGGGTATTTTGGCGTGACGTAGCTGCCTTCTGGCACGCGATTGGTTGCCTTGGGTGGAAATTTTGTTCACGTGCTCAACGCATGAACCAGGCTTGCGCTGTGGCTCGAGACATAGAGAAAGAGAGAGAAGGAGAGAGGGAGATCAGCGCGCGCACACTCGCGCCGCGCATGAATTATAATTTATTTTGTTGTTTTCTGTTCTGAAAATACCGGAGTGTGAGTTCCTGCTCTCGAGATCAGCTCTATTTTTAAGACACTGAAAGAAAACGTAAATACTTTTTTATTGTTACTTCTCGGTTACTTCGTTAATCAATTATATTATAACAAACCGGGGCGGATTCTATAGATCAAATTCCTTAATTTCCCCTCTTTGCACCGATAAGGATCATTGAAGCGTTAACAATTTTAACCCCCCCCCCCAAAAAAAAGAACCCCCCCCTAAAAAAAACCCAAAACAAACACCCCCCAAAAACAAAACAAACAAACAAAAACAAAAAACTAAACAAAATAAAAACTAAAAACAAAGAAAGATAGAAAGAAAATGAATGAAAAGAAATAATGCAGAAAAAGAATATGAATAAACAATAAATTTATTAGATATTGAATCTAGTTTTTCAAAAAAACATGCAAACAAACAAAACATTTTTTGTGTGTGTGTTTTTTTGTGTGTGTAATGCTGCGGGTGGTTGGAGAGCGCCTCTTGTAGATCCTACTTCTTAAATCTTTTTCTTCTTTTGTTTTTCTCTGTCTCTTTCATCTAACTTTTCTTCGTGCACTGATGACTGGCATATAGAGGCAATACGCAACACAAACTCAAACCAACACTCTGTTATATTGCCATGCATTCATGTATGTTGTGATAGAACACACGCTCCTGTTGTTATCGTTATTGTTGTACATGTATTACTATTACTATTACTATTATTATTATTAGTAGTAGTAGTAGTAGTAGTAGTAGTAGTAGTAGTAGTAGTAGTAGTAGTAGTAGTAGTAGTAAG